TCACTCAGCAATGTGAGGACGGGGCACATGGCATAATAACTAGCGCCCCCTGTGGTGTGCAAAAGCCCACGAAACTGAGCATTTGGGCAGAAGACCAATGTTTCACTTCAGTGGGCTTCAAGACGTGCTATTAGTCTCCTTGCGGAACAAATACGAATTCAGTTTTGCAAATATAAAATAATTGTGGCACCATTCTGTGATGTTTCTTTGACTCAAGAAAGGAGCAAATGTTACTGTTTTCTCTGATATTCGGTACTACATTGTACACTGAGCAACGTATTACACTGCCACGATGCATTAACTCACTCATAAACTTACTGTACTTTATTTGCCATAAGTCAAATTCATTTGTTAGAAACTCAAAATACCAATACGTGTTATGACAACTACAAACATTAAAATTACAATTAACAAAATTATACAATTCATATAATTTATTAAAATTATAACACAATACACCAATTTCTATAATGCTGTTTGAGGGTGAAGTGTCTAAATTAGAAATTATTTTGTAATTAGAAACAAATTTTATATTTAAGATTTAATTGTTCTGAAGTGGAACATAGAGTTCAAAGGATCATTTGAGAAAATGATATATAAACTTATTTATCTGGGAAGCGAACAATTATTTGTTTAAAAAAAACACAAGAAAAAACACTAACAACAGAACAAAAACAAATAAAGAACACAGTGTGATTTTATGTGTGTGAATGTCAGCTTAACCATTTCCAAAGCTTTCCTCGAGGAAGCGAGGAAGATTTGTTTGAATATTTGTACTGTACTTAGTTCATCTAATCACTCCTTCAATATATAAATTAATTAATTTGAAATGTAACAAATCCATAAGTCAGGAACCGAACTTGTGTTCTAACCAACATATTTATAACTTAAAACAGAATATAAAATCTGTTTATATATATATATATATATATATATACATGTAATATAATATATATACATGAATATATATTATAGTGTTTTCCTGGCAAAACACCCTTACTATAGCTTTAAACAATTTTCTTAAATTACTCAAGACTTTTGAACCCTATACCACATTGTATATGACATTATATATACATCTGTAAATAGCATTATATATATATATATATATATACATATATATATATACATATATATATATATATATATATATAAAATGATGTCTATTATAATGCTAGGTATATAAAGAAGTACATGAAGAACAAAGCATTACTACATATTCATTATTGAAACAATAAACGATAAACACTACAAGTTAATTAAAAGTCTATAAGTTAAAACAACATTGGGTTTTGTTTTCAGTGTAAAACAAATCTAGCCAGCCCTAGATTGTTGTGCTAATCTCTCCCTCTCTCTGCCTCTCCCTCTCTCTCTCTCTCTCTCTCTCTCTCACACACACACACACACACTCACACACACACACATACACAGGGCTTGGAGCTTGTGTGTTGAATAAGCCTCTTTCTCCTTTAAATCTTGGACATTTTGACAGGTCACATTAAGATCTGCCTGCTCAGCATGAACACATCATAAAACTGGACAGGCAATTTCTGTTTTCACCAAATAGCCAGGCTAACTCGTTCTGCATCTTTGATTTTAATACACTAGACAAGCAGCTTAGCAGCAAGGGAGGGAAAAATATCTGGCTTAGGTATATTTTTCGAGTTATGCTTCTCAATTCCCCTAGATCCATTTTTCCGTTTGAATTATCAACTAGAATTTGATTAATATGCAAATTTGAGGCGAAAAGTCTCGTATAATTCTTTCAGTGGAGAGTAGTAATTAATCAACAGTTAAAGAAAATTAATACATATATCAATTTTGTCAGGGACACGCTTAGCTCAATCGTCCGTAAAATTGAAGTTTGAAGTATTAAGGGGCTCTACAGGAGCGGTATAACTAAAACTTTCAAATCCGACCTATTTAGTGATCAATCAAGCTTTCCCCTTAGGTTAATCTACTTAATATTTCACCTCAAATCATACACTCTTGTGACATGGAGTCTCGCGTGGAGTCGATGAAAAGTTTTTTAAAACGTTAACGACCTGGATATTTCCCGTGGTCCGCTCTGCTAAAGCCGTGGGTTTAAACCGAGGGCTAAAGGTGGGACCCCCTCACTCGATCCACAGCATCAACTTCACTGTGAAATATCTATTTATCCATCCATCTATCCATCTATCTATCTATCTATCTATCTATTACGAAAGAGTAGGCTACTTACCCTTTTATTTTTAAGTAAGATAAAGAATATCGTTGGGAAACTCCTCTCAATCCTTACAATTAGGCAGGAGAAGAGAGAGGGGGGGGTGTACAAACCCCATTGTTTCAGCAGGGACTCATGCATCAAACTTCAATTTTCCGGACGATTGAATTAGTGATTTTTTTCTCTCACTCTCTTGAGCTGAAATACACTTAAGACTTGGGGATTAATTACCACGTTCTGCTCTTTCGGATTGTAGTATTACTTATCTTTGCCACGTTTGACAACACCTCATAAAATAAGGAACTGGTCCTGACATATCAGCACTGTACTCTCTACTATAACTCTTTAGCTTAGGCTATAACCAGAGCACATATGAGAGGCTCGGTGCAGCATCAAGAGAGAAGAGCAGGCTTTTGTCTGAATTAAGGTGTCAGATCTTAAGCTATAAGGTCTCATTGCACTGATAAAAGACAGTCTGACATGCGCAATAGAACCAGCAAATGAAATGGACAAAAATATCTGACAAAAAAATGACCTTACTGGTCGACTGCGATGACATTCGTTCTTGTAACAGCAAGAACACACACAGGAAGTGACGTTGGTATCTGCTTATCTTAATGGGGTGTGGAGTGGCGACAAATCTTACACAGTGCTCAAAGGACTCTGATCCCCCTATTAGACCCAACTCCAGACCATTTATTCACAGTTCAGGATCACCACGAATAGCTATAGCCATATATATATATATATATATATATATATATATATATATATATATATATATATATATATATATATATGATCCTATGATTGCCCAACCTCAACAGATACCTCTGCCCAGTTGCTTCAGTTCACTCATAATCACATAATCGTGATGTAAAAATATGCTGCTTTTGCCATCAGTAAACTGTGCGATGCCTTACATATAAAGATAACATTGAAAATATATCAGACATTTAGGATCTGGTCTACAGTCCAATTCCAGACAATTCCATTTAAGAAAACAGCAAATGTCACTGTATCACTCAAGTCTGATGTAATTATACTGAAGACTGGAATATTAATGAGCTAGTAATAATAATAATAATAATAATAATAATAATAATAATAATAATAATAGCACTTTAATAACAACACCTCAATAATAATAATAATAATAATAATAATAATAATATAATCTGTTATCACTTAATATTGTTGACTACACAGACATTCAATAGAGTCGATAATAAGAAAATTATACTGTGTTTAAAATGAAGGGCAACTGTTCAAACACTTGCACTCTTAAAATACCAAAGTCCCAGAAATGACGTCTGGGAGGAACGACGTCAAATATCTGCACAAAAGCCACAATCCATTAAGTCTCCTGTTTAGTATTAAAACCACTTCAAGCCACAAGATGAACCGCTTTAAAATGCTGCCAGAAAAGCCCTTCACACAAACCCACAAGGGCAGAAGGCAACCTTTTAACAAACCGAGTCAGTTTCATTGTAATTCATAGACTTGTTTAAAACAGCCGAGCAAGAAAAGGAAGAAAAGAGGGAACATTAATAGGCCCAGATGCCCTCGCACGAGGAGAGGGCCTATGTATGCATTAGTGCCTTTTGTGAAAATTGAGCGAAACACTTCGAAGGGAGGCCTAACTCAATCCATCAAATTGTCTGAAATTGTGAGGAAAATTCAGAAACCATATGGCCCCGAACGCTTGTGTCCTTTGAGCGCGCTTGTCTCCGTATTGAGAGCTGCGGGAGGCGCACTGAGGCCCATTGGAGCCTGGCGCAGGAGGGAAGGCTGCTCATTTGTCCCCGCGTTTCACGCTTCACTCCTGAAATGACAGCGAAAAGGCCGTCACAGGCTCAGAAAGTGGCCCAAAACTGCACTTTTCAGGCACTATTTATGCCCACATTCCCCCAACCAGATTTCTGTTTCTCACATAAATCTATTCAATATAGCCTTTTGAAAACACGCGTCCAATGGCTGAGGTTACGCCTGTCTGCGAATGAAAGGAGCAAAGGAGGCGAGACTGAAAGCCAGAGGGTTGTTAAGAGCGTACAAGTCCACTTTTGTGTTTAAAAAAAAGGGGGAAAAAGAAAAAAAACGAGACTATTTTAGCAGCACGCGCAGCTGAGGGTGATAAAAATAAAACCATTTAAATGTCCAAACCAGTCTACATATTTAAATTCAATATCTCCAAAATATAAGCCATAATTATTTCAAATGGAGTAAAATAAAACTACTACTAAGATGAGAAATTTTGAGAAAGAGATTTTTATTTCCTTTAAATACATTACACTTTGTACACTGGGTTTAAATGGTGTCTTGGTTTAAAAGGCACTTACAGGCATACAAACCATAAGAAATATATTCAAAACGTGACCGTCTAGATTCAACCTTTTTTTTTGTTTTGTTTTCACGCAGTAACGTCAGTATGAAATGTTTTGTAACAAAACGTATCAAACGTTGAGTGTGTTACAATCCTACACGCATTACACGGTTACACACACACACGTGTGGACTTTGCCGTGTGTGGACATTTTGGAGATACTCATATCAGAGAGCTGCAGTCACTTTAACAAAAATAAAACCGTAAAATAAAATAGAACATGCATAATAAATTACTCAAAACACGGTAAGGGTTCTATATGGCCTAGATGGGCAATCGTCTTTGTAGAGCGTGTGTGTGCGTGAGAGAGAGAGAGAGAGAGAGAGAGAGAGAGAGAGAGAGAGAGAGAATGTGTCAGGGTACTTATTGCTTTCCTTCCACTACCGGTTTGTGTAAAATAAATAGGCTAAATGGTTGTGATATTTAGATCGCTGTCACTGCATAAATAGATCTGAGGAAACTGTCCATGCTTGTTTTGAGTTTTCTCTGTTTTTGTTTTTTCTTTTCTTCTTCTTCTTTGTCATAAGTCATTTAAATACATTTGGTGCATTAATGGCACTTTAAGCTCTGCAGGGCTTTTGAAGGAGGAGCAGTTCAAAAAGCGCGTGCAGCTCCATCAGTCATCCACGTCGATCTCCTCGTCCTCGTCCTCCGAGCACTCTTTGCTGGTTGTGTGGTCTGTGAACGGGGAGGCCGGTGACGTTGGCGCTCGGCTCGCACCCTCGCGCTCGTGCCCGGGGAGCGCGGGAGAGTCGCGCGCCGCCGCTCCGCCGCCGCCGCTGCCGCCGGAGATGCCGTTCGCGCACTTCTCCAGATCGGCCAGTTTGGCCATTTTTTCAAAGGACACGGAGCCGAGGGCTTTGGCTGACTCCACGTCCGCCTTCATCTCCTCCAGATCGCGCTTGAGCTTCGCGCGCCGGTTCTGAAACCAGGTGATGACCTGCGCGTTGGTCAGGCCGAGCTGCTGCGCGATCTGGTCCCGGTCAGCGGGGGACAAATACTTCTGATACAGGAAGCGTTTCTCCAGCTCGTAGATCTGATGGTTGGTGAAGGCAGTTCTGGACTTTCTCCGCTTCTTAGGAGTGTTCCTTTGACCGAACAGAGTCATACCGTCCCTGCCTGCAGAACACACACAGCACTACAGTCACTACACTGACCACTCACTACATTTCAGCCTCACACAGTCATCTACAACAGCAGCAACGAAAACGACAATAAGAAAAAAAACGTCTAACAACAATAATAATAATCACAATATTAAACACATTCAAGAAGCAAAATAAAGATAAAAATGAAATATTAGCATGCTCAGCTAAATGGCATTCATTCGTGGAATTTATAGTCTTCAACAACAACAACAATAATAATAATAATAATGCATGTTATTTTCAATTATTATTATTATTATTATTATTATTATTATTATGAAAGAATGAAATTAATTCTAAAATGAGCAGTCTATTTTTGTTTGACTTCAGTAGCTTCTCTACTTTCAAGCTGCCTCTTTCGAAACCATTACCACATTTTAATTGATTTAAAGTCTTTTGTATTAATAGCATTTTTATTATAAATGTAAATTTATAAAATAAATAGGAATAAAAAACAAGAATATCTTGTCCAGCCTGTAATAAATAAATAAAAAAAAATCATAAGACAAATATTAAAAATACGTAAAATATGATTTTAGGCAGAAAGAAAGAAAGAAAGAAAGAAAGAAAGAAAAGAGTACTTTTTTTATCTTATTTTTTCCAATCGAGTAACACAAACAATGCAGCATTTTTCAGTGTATTTTTTATTTGCTTATTTGTTTAGATTTATATTAATATTTTCAGATTTATTTTCAGTAATACGCGGTCATGTCTGGTGTGTGTTTACCTTCGGCGGCCTGCAGCACGCTGACCTCCAGCCCTTTAAAGGTTTTGCTGGCGAGCTCCTCCAGCGCGCACAGAGGAGAGGTGTGTGTGAGCAGCGCGCGGGAGGAGAGCGGGTGTCCTGCCGGAGTGGCCTTCTCCGCGGCGGGCAGCAGCGAGTAGGAGCGCTTGACCGAGGGCTTGTTGAGGATGTCCTCAATGCTGAAGGGCGTCAGGGGCTTGTTGGAGTTGGCTGGAGGAGGGAGATGGTCCAGAGGACTGCGCCTCCTGTCCTCCACTGAGGCGCCTTTCGCATCTTCTTTGGAGCTCATTTTCTTCAGTTTGCCCTCAGCTCGTTTTGAAAACGCTCGCGTGTCTCAAAAACAAAAGAAATGAGCAGAAAGCTCAGCGGCTCCGCTCGTACAGGCGCGCTGGGTTTGGAGGGAAGCGAGTGAGACGATGCGCTCGGCGGGTGTGTGGAATTACATGCCCGCTGTCTTCAGGCTCGTTTTGCCGCAGGCTTGGAGAACTTAAGGTCCTTTAAAGTGCCTTCACTTCTCTCGGCTACAGCTCCTGGATGGCGGTCCAGTTCTGCCACAAACAATCCCACAGCCTCTGATACCTCAGCGCGCGCACTGAGCCTGGAAAGCAGCTGCAATTGACTATACTAACAAGTTATTGTTGATAGCGAGACAATCAATTATATCCAGTGGCACTTTCTCTCTCTCTCTCTCCCCACCTCCCCTCTCTCTCTCTGTCTGTCTCTCTCTTGCTCTTTGACTATGTTGCAGTCCAATGCAAGCTTTAGCGAGGAAGGAGCCCCGTTAATTAGAGGGCATGGCCGGGAGGAGGAGCCCAACCGGATTAGAATACTTAATGCTCCCACTATTTCTTCCAAATTAATGATTTGTCGATAGGAATTTTCATTTTGGTTGAACATATTTAGCATCAGACGATTCTGTAATAATTCTGTAATAGACCATTAGCGATTTAAAAAGTAATTCAAATACAAAATGCACTAAAATCAGATGGATTTAATTCGAAACGCCATTGTTATTATTATTATTATTATTATTATTATTACAATTATTATTAAAATTCTCATTATTAAATGTCTCAAGTATCTCTTTCTAAGAACAGATTATTCAGAGATAATGTCTTTGGTTCCATAAAGGTATTATGAAGCCAGACAGTATATCACGGTTGATAATACATGTAGACAGATGGAGAGAGAGAGAGAGGGAGAGAGAGAGAGAGATCGTCCCTTTCAGCTGCACCACTTCTCCAGTGCCATAACTCAGGCGCAAAGGGCCAGCACACATCAGCAGTAAGATATTTCATCTCTAAAAATCGCCTGCTGCTCCTGCTCCCATATTTTTGGCGTTGTGGGGATTTTTTTTTCTTTTTTTTTCCTCGTCGGCTCGCGCAGCATGTGAGATGTGGGTAACGCTGAACTCGCTCATATGCATGGAAATTCAGCCCGGCTGAAGGAGACACAGGCTGCTTTCCTCTCTCTGTCTCTGTGAAGCTGGCTGATGGCGGAGTGATGAAGTGCAGTCTGCTGTGAGGAAAGCTAGACTAGTGTGTGATCTCTGTAAATTAGCCACGCAGAGACCCGCAGGCCTCCGAGTGACCAGCAGAGTGGAGGAACCTGCACACACTGCCACACTCAGCCACTCCTGGACTAGCATGATATGCTAGCGAGCTTTATGAGGAAGAGCCTCACGAATCAACATTCAAATAAAATGTATTATTTTTTTAAATCTCTGAACATAACTGCTTCATTTATTTTCATTTTTATTTTGCTATTAAAGTATTTATTTTATTATTTTTATTATTTAAACTAAAACTATTCGTTAGAATAACCGTTCAGTTACTACAACTGTTTGTTAGAATACATGGTGGTCCTGAAGCGTGAATGAATGGTCTCGAGTTGGGTCTAATATTTAACTGTAGACTAGGCAAAAAACGTATGAAGCTAAAAGAATGTTACTCGTTTTCTCGTTCTTAAAAAAAGAAACGTAAAAAACACAATGATATATGTAAGTGTAACTCAAACTAACTCCCCTCAGTTACTGAAGCCCACCGAGTAAACGCCACACTAAAGTGTAAAGCCCTATTAAACTTTATTCAGTGCCAAATTATTTTAAAAAACTACTCAGGTGTGACAATTATCAGACAGAACCAATAAACATACAAACATTTCTAATATGTAATCTACTTGATGTGCTGTATGGGATCAGCCCGTTTCAGTATAACAGTGCACTTTTTTAAAAAGATGGTTCTTCAGGGATTTTTACTCAAAAAAAAATGGTTCTATATCGAACCATGAACACTCAAAGAACCCATTGCATGGTGAAATGGTTCTTCAGATTGATGGAGAATGTGCTGTAGATGGTTCTATATAGAATCTTTTTGAACAGTGTTCTGTATAGCACCAAAAAGCGTTCCACTATTGTTACAAGCCAAAGAACCCTTATTTGGCACTATATAGAACCATGTTTGCTAAGAGTGTATAGCATGATCATTATACAAACTCTTGAAGAATAAACAAAAACAGACCGATTCAAACTCTCTTTACCAAACATTCTATAGCGTCTTAATCTATACATTCATCAGAGTAGAGCTTATATATTAACTTGGACTTGTTTTGTTAATGAATAACACAGAGAACCGCGCTGTACTGAACTCGAAAGATGGTCTTTATGTTCATGATACTGAATTTGTTCAGTACCTAAAAAAAACCGTCCAAATAGTCACGAATTTCTGATAAACCTCCACCGGATCTACAGAATAACGGTAATAAAAACACAACAGAGCGTTTTGATTGGCCTCATACTGGGGTCTCAGTTTAAGGGGGTCTAGCTGTAAATAGCGCGCGCATATGACTGAGCGAAATGAGTCACTTTGTTACAGGCTCGTGGAGGACTGTCTGGACAGCTTTATTATAGAATTTATTCACTGCTTCCGAGCGCGAGGGATCCGATTTCACAGGCAATGTCGGATCTTTTCACCAAGTTTGCCTTTTGCTCGCATGGCCTTTCTAAAGCTACTAAATCATCCATGCACACATCTGCTGTGATGGATGTGGCCTAATGTCTGCATCGGATACTCTAAATCGAGAAGCACAGAGGTTTCCACGTACGTCTTCATTTAATCTTCGTGCAGCAGTGAGGGTGTGCTGAAGGCAATCCTCTCTCAGCTCACTCTCTAATCACCTCACTACTAAAACCTCATCTTAGAAACTACACTCCTCCAACTTTCTTCTTCTGGAAAATGACAGCAGGAGAACTTAACAAATGATAAGATAGAATTATTATTATTATTATTATTATTATTATAGTGAGTGAGTGAGGACCCTTAATAAAGCTATGTGCCCCCTTAGTTATATGCCCTAATTATCTATTAACTACAATTGTTAACTTGGTGCAGTTATAACAAATGGTCCAGTTACTCCATGGAACGTTTTATGTCATTTGTTTAATTTTTTTAAGTAAAAACTTTAAGAGGTGGTAAATCGTCTCCCTTTGCCTTACTAATTTACCCATGTTTTTTTTTCCCCATAACTCAAAAAGAGCAAAATTTCTCTTCATTCCAACAGACAGTAATGACCCAACTCAGCCTCTTACACTGCACCACCCTACAGAATCTTTACACCATACAAAAGAAACAAATTACAATTATGATATACAAATTTACAGCCTAAATAACATACAAATGTAATGACTGTTAAACACCATATTAAAGATGTCATAAACCTTGTTAAACAAGTGGACCAGTTTGCTCATCTGGGTTAATTTGGTCTACTTTCAAGAACAAACGCACTATACAAATTAATAACATCTTTGATCTCTTTTAGATAGTCATTATTACTATGTTATTACTACATTGAGAGACAAATGTTTATTGGTGTTCCCAGATGTCTCACTTCACCAGAATTACACTAGAATTTCAAGACTCTCAGATGTATCACCAGACCTCTGGTGAGACTAAAAGTACTGTTAAATTTGCGAAGGTGTCTTTTTATAAACTGAGCAGAAAAAAGTCTCACTTCCGAAGTTACACAATGAAAGAGATGCAGTAAATACTTTTGCTTTTTAAAGTATCATTTTCTCACAAGGCAATCTTTAGAACTGCACCTCATTTCCATATGCTATTTTAAATTATCATTACATTTGCTTCAATCAATAATCTTAGTATAGCTTTATGAATAGAACAGAAATGGTAGTCCATATTCCAGAGATTAGTTCTGATGATCTTAACAGTCACAAAGGTAAGAGGACATAATTCATTTCTAACCTCAACAGTTGGTCTTGGCAGATCCGTTGAGGAACTCCAGTCTGAGATATCTGTTGTTCTGTTGTTTTAATTGCATCACTATTCACACAGAAACTCAAAGACACTCATATTACATATCGCCCAAGAGACACAGTCTCACACACTTGGATTGACGCCCACGACTAAATGAACTCTTGTATTGACTAGCCTCCTGATGATGATGCCCTAATCCCACACACAGATGTTTGTAATTATGGAGCTGATAGTGTCCCCAAGACTTGAGCATATGAGGGAGCTCAAGTGATGCCCAGAAACTGGACAGTTTGCCAAAGAACAGAAGAACTTATAACACTTAGATCTATCACAGTTTTCATCAGCTTTTTAGAGCACCATTTACTGATAGGCTAACAAACCTACAGTTCAAACTCTTTCAGACAGCCCTTGGACAGCCTGTCTTATGATATCATAGCTTCTTATGAACACTGCTATTTTTCCATCATGTGGTGTACATGTGTTACTACAGGAGGTCTTGCCAAGTGGGGCTATTTTATCGCAGTCACTTATTGTAGTTAGCTAAATGCACGTCACCTCCATCTTATGTGACTCCTATGGTACAAAGTTTTAAAAATAAAGGTGACCATATGTGTCATTTGGAGAGATGCCATAGAACAACCACTTTGGATTCTCTACAGATCCTTTCAGTGGCTGGATCTTAAAACAAGTATTTAAGTATGTAAATGAGTGAAAATGTGTGTGTGAAGAGTGAAGGACCTTTTTTAAAGTTTGAAGAACCTCCATATATGTAAAGGTTCTATATCATTTAATGTTTCTTTTTTTTCTTTAACTGTACATCCCAGCCAAGAACCATTTAGGAACCTTTTACTGTGTCAATGTGGAAAAATATCTGGACTACTTACATAGTTTTTCCAAAGAGATGCACAGATTTAAATAAAACAGCATGCATTTTTGTTCACTTGTAGTATTTGAAGGCATGATAAACTATGAAAGCGTGAATTCTGCAAAGCAGGCCCCACATCTATTATTAACAACAGTAGCTTGGATACAGGCCCAACTGAGGTGGATTAACATTTGGCAAGCACAGCATTGGCACCAACTGTCCTGTCATCCCCATGTAAATTACCTCCCACAAAAAAGAAATACAAGGTCAATCTGATGTGATTAAGGCATTTCTCTGAAGAGACAGCCTCCCCTAATTCTTGTCTGCAACAATTGCGCTGTATTGCACCTTAGCCTGATGTATAAATCTACACCATGTTTTGCAAGCATTTCACAAAATAATAACCATAAAATAATAAATGACAGGCCCCACATAGCAGAAAGTTTAAGCACAGTGAGCACATACAGAAACATTAAGCTGACAAATTCAGGTGTTTAGATTTTAATTTGCTCCTCAATAAACAAGAAGTCCATTGTTGTTACCTAAAGTGCTAACTGATTCACAAAGCCATTACAATGT